AAAGGAAAGCGAGCTAGAGTGGCTCAATCTGCTAGGTCGGTACTGAGGTTGCACGGGACGCCAAGGCGTCTATTCACAGTGTGAAAGAGGGAAGAAAGATGGAGCTTTCTGACAAAAAAACCCTCCCTTCCTCAAGTCCATCCACAGCTGCACTTTATCTTTTACCCAACAGATGCTCTGCCTCTCACCTGCAGCACTCTGCCTGCAACCTTATGAGCTGGAGAACAAACAAAACCAACAATAACTCTGATAAGAGACCATACTAGAATCAAATAACATCTTATGAAATACTGGATGTGATCATGGTACAGACTATATAAACTGTAGAATACAACTGTATAGATTCTGTCACAGTATGTTTGAGAAAACAGCTGGAAAACGTCTATTATTGACTATAATTCTCTGTTTTTTGTCCACTGGGCTAAGAAATGAAAAGGCTCAAGAGGGAAGAAAAAACCTGAACAGATTGTACTTGTGTGACTGTGGGGATAAAGTGTTCTGTAGTATTACTCACAACCCCCCACACATTGGACAAAATCCCTCCCTGGAGAACAAATAGTTTTGGCTTCACATGAGCGCTACCATAGACTGGTGTCTTGCAAAGATTGGACTTGAAAATATGACAATATTTACAGAGGGATTCCAATCACTCGAGGATACAAATACTAATAGAGCATTCCCGTCATCTTAGGAAGAGATTGACACGTAAATTGACTGCTTCTGTAAGTAACATGTTTCACAACAATAGGGGACAGTGAATAGGAATAACTACTGCCCGGAGAACAAGCTGGACGCTTTTACATACAACCTATTTATATCATTTACAGTACGTTTTGTTTTCTTTCCTATATGGTTTTGCTAATGTCAGGAATTTCCAGAGTTTAGATTATAATTATTATTATTAAAATGTTTGATAAATCATAGGTCAATGCTGGAACTCAGTAAGCAGGGCTGCTTTAGGAAAATGTTGGGCTTACAAAATTTACAAGTTTTGGGCATTTTATCCACTGAATTCACCAAAAATGGACATTCCCATCTGGTAATTTTATTAATAAGCAGTTTGTTTATTGACTTTTCAGACAATTTCACAATACCCATGTAAATTGCTAATAAAGATTTCCATTTCCTTTTAAGACCATTTTATGCCATGTTTATGATGATCATTGCACTGTTTCAAAGAGCAATGAACTTTTAATCCGTAAGAATATTAAGACTGTGTGGAATGTAAAAAAATATTAAATTATCTTTAATAAATGAAACAAAAACGAAGCCATGCAACCAAAAACAATAAATAAAATGGACTCTCAGTCTCTGTTAACAAAAGTACATTTTAAGTAAGTATTAAACATTTGGCACAGTGGTAGGCTATATGCTGCTGTTTATTCTGGCATCGTGTCGTCTAAAATGTTGAATGATTGTTGAAAAATGGTGACATTTTTAAATGATAGGTCGATATTGTAACAGTAATTATACATCTTACGATAAGTCGATAATGTAATTATTGTGACAGGCCCATTTTAATCAATATCAACCACACCTGATACCATTGGGACTTGGAAAGCACCGAGATTCTCCATGATAAGCTGGAGGACGGGATGTGTAGAAGGTAGCACACACAAATACATACACAGTACAAAGAAAGCACGACAAGTCAATCAGTTGCCCAGCTGATCTCTCGACAATCCACTCCATCCATCAAACACATCAAACCCAATCTGAAAAGCAGCCTCGCCCTGACATTCGAGCTTCATTCAACAAAACGGAGCCTGAAGCACTGTTGGGATTACAACGCTCGGCTGAATACACTCCTGAACAAACATACAGATGGTGCTTGTTCAGGAACCACAACAACCTGAGGAAACTTGTTTACCCACATTATCAGTGGGTAACGATAGCATAGCAGGATCTAAACCCTCAACCAACCGAATCCACAGGGACGTTTTACTTAACGCTTCAATACAACCCAATGGTGAATTCCTTTCATAATTTGCATATCATGGTGGGAAATTGCGTATCATTACAGAGCCCTGATACAGTGCCAGCCACTCTACAGTACAGTATGGGTGCTGACAAACAGGCGAAACACACACGATACAGTCGTGAGACACTGCCCACACACACACTTGGATCCACCAGTGTGAGTCATCCAAAAATTACATTCAGCATCTCTGGTTTCAGCAGCAGAGCGGTGGGGTTAAGGCTTTGGTCCTCTGTTGTGGAGTTATTGTATACTGGCATACTGTCTAACAAACAGAGAAAACAAACAGCATGCAGAGCTGCTGGAAAACAAAATCATTGTTTTTCCAGGGAAGGGTCATCAAGCTCAATTCATACAGTTATAACCAACTCCTGTAACCATTTATAGCAGCTGCCCTGCAACAGCCTTGCTCAATGGTAGCTTTTGTGGGTAATTATTCAAATCTCCTTTGACAAACCTGAAAAGCTCCAGGCGAACTTTCGACAATATGTCCGTCACCATGTGGCCATTTTAACAACTCATGTTTTGTCTCACAACTTAATAACACTGAGAAATGAGCAAATATTAATCTTGAACTAAGGAACAAAAACTGTTTTCAGTTTAGGCTCTGCCAATTTCTGCCTAACAGACCTCTTCTTTTATTAACACAACTTTCGTCCAATCTTTACCAGATTTGGTAGAAAACATTTTTCAAGGAGTGCAAAGACTTTTTTTTTAAATAGATCATAGACTACTGCCCAATCCTGCACGATTAATCGATTAGTCGTCAGCTATTCAATAAAATAAAAGGTGGGATCAGACATTCTTAAAGGAAAGTTGACTGTTGAAACTCATTCTCAGGTCGACAAATACGAACGCTTTGGCAACTCAAAGTATCGGTATGAGATTATCGATTAATCAATGAGTCATTTTTTAAGATTTTTTTTTACCAAATCCTCTGATTTCAGCTTCTCAAATGTGAATATTTTATTTAGCCCTCTATGATAATAAACTGAAGGATTATGGATCAAACAAGACATTTGAGGATGTCACCTTGGAATTTGGCTTAGGAAAACAAACTTACCTGCAAGTAAGGAAGCATTTCAACTGTAGGTGGCACTAAAATGGCCATAACTCAGTGCTCATGACTCTGACTCAAATGCAATTTTCTGCAAGTCATCCTTCAGTAAAATACACTATTAACTCCTGACAGGATTTAGGTATATAGGTATTCAAAACATACATCCAATATCAGCCCAAATGTGTGTATTTTGATGCAGACCTACAGTTCATTTTCTAGCATTGAAGTCACATATAAGCACTGTTGGCGGAGCTATGATCTCTAAGTTCTTTGTGCTTGACACTTAATTGTGATATTATGTTCTGTAATTCATGTTCCTGATCCCCACCTTGATGCTGCTTGATTTAACAGCTGATATTTGTCATCTCTCCTCAGTGGAGAAACAAAGTTGAGTGTTATCTAAATGGGAGCTGGCACCTCTGGGCCTCTTCATCTTCCGTGCCTTTAATGAATTAATAAAGACGTGTTAGTTTCTCTAAACACACGCAGCCCCACGCAAAGCTCCGCTACCTCAACGGATCGGCTCAAAACCACCCTGGGGACAGCACCACTGCAGCACCGACTGCCACACCAGCGAGCATCAAGACTCCTACAATCAGCACCCAGCGGCGGGTCAAACTGGCAGCGGCGCTCTGCTTTTCCTCACTCCTGCTGACTCCTTAATGATGCAGCCTGCTGATGACAGGAAGAAACCCCACTGCTGCAGTTCTGCATGATGGCATTTTCATACTCGACCCTTCAGCAGGGACTTCTCTTGCTAAGACTGACAGCTTCTCTCTCCCTTTGCTGTTCATAAATCTGTCTTTTATTCTTCCACTTAATTAATCGGCCTATAAAACACAGTAGCATCTCCAAATAGCTCGTCTTGCCCGAACTCAAAGACACCTGTTTCATAATGATGTAAACCAAAGAAAGAGCAGTAAATCCTCACATTGGACAACCTGGAAACAAAATCTTTCATTTTATCTCGCTACATGACTCAAACAATCAATAATCACCATTCATTTCACTTCAGCACTACTTTTCATAAAAAAGTCTTTGGCTCAGTAAGCACACATGCCCTTCTCCTCTTGCATCCACCAGCACCTCTTCCCCGATTAGGCACTCCGGCTCTCTCCTGACGTTTCTTGTGGAGGAGTGTGGAACGGTGACAAGTTTCCTCAAAGTGCAACTTAAGAAATCTCCATAAAGTCATTACCACCAATAAAGACCCCAAATGAAGATTGCTCGGCCAGTTATAGAATAATGATCTGCTTTTGCTCAGACAGGTGAGGTCGGGCTCAGCTGCTTCCAGTGACAGCTTCCCTTCTGCAATGTGTGGAGCAACTGGAACTGAACTGCCCCAGGGGCAAAGGTTAGGGGCTGAAACAGGTGGAATTTACATGACTGACTCGCAGCACTATCGGAAAATAAATAAAGCATTGTGAGCAGAGGTAGAGAGGAGACTGGATGCTTCAGGAGTGGATTGACTGCTGCTAAAAGGATCAATTAGTCCACAGTACACAGCTAATTAATAGATTACAGTTCTGTTCATTGATTCCATTTGACTTTTTTTGGTGGTTTGTCAAATTTGAAGGATCGCTTTTGACTCTTGAATGAATCGATATACATTTAAGAAAAACAATAAACTGCCTTCGTAGAGCAGCATCAATCTCTAGGAGCTGGATACAACCAGGCAGTCTCACACTGAACTTATCTTCATCTATCTTTTCCAGGAACAACACAATTTCTCCTGGTGACTGGAGATCATTTCTTTATCATTAAATGACTTCACAGCACAACAGAACAGACAGGTCTGTGTTACCAAAGTGGCAAGACAAGGGCTAAGACACCAGGCAGGTCAACGGAGTCAAAGTTATCCGAGGTCTGTCCTCTATCACCGTCCTCCAGCTGGCCGTCCACCGTGCAGCAGGTGTCCCTCAGCGGCAGCAGGAAAAGAACTACCAACACGGTCCGTCTTACCTTGTAGACATTCTCCGTTATACGGTGCACCTCGTCGGTCCGGGACATCCTTGTAGGAGCGTTAGTCAGAACCATAGACTAAGATTTCCTTTAGGTGAGGCTGAGACGATTTTCCGACCGGTGGCGGGAGAAATAACGCAGGTGTTCGCGGGGAATCGCAGCTCCTGTCTGCGGTGACTGAGAGAGACGAGCTTGTCTGAACGTGGGATCCCTGCTTTTATAGGAAAGTCCTCCGCTGCGCCCACACCGGCTGCCCACGCAGCCACTCAGTCCGTCGGTGCCTCTCGGTTGGAGCGCAGAGGCGGACTCACTTCACCAGGGGCGGTGCTGCATTCAAAGGCGGTGGGATGTACGGCGACCTACGAGCTGAGCATCCTGACGAAGAGATGGGTCCTACTGTGATAGAAAATGTAAATGTTGTGTACAATGAACAAGGCACGGAGTAAAACTATGGTTCACTTAGCTTTAAGAAGGACACTAAGGAGTGCCTATGTATGTAATGATGAAATAAATATTTTTTGTTATTATTGCTGAAATATTTCACAGTGTCCTGACAGAAGTACGTGAGACAGATAATCTGTGAAAAGATCAGGTTCCTCTGGCTCCTCCTAGTGGTCCTAATGGCATTTGCAAGAA